TTGAAGTTGACGAGGGCGACCGTGAGAAAACCGCGTTCGTGACGCCTGACGGGCTCTACGAATTTAAAGTGCTGCCTTTCGGTCTCTGTTCCGCTCCCGCCACGTTTCAACGCATGATGGATACTGTACTAGCTGGACTAAAGTGGCAGACGTGTCTTGTATACTTGGATGATGTCGTTGTGTTTTCAACCACATTTGACGAGCATCTTTCAAGGCTAAAAAGTGTCCTCACTGCAATAAGGAGAGCGAACCTTACTATCAAGCCCGAAAAGTGCTACTTCGGCTATCAGGAACTCAAGTTTCTCGGCCACGTGGTTAGCCCGGGGGGTGTTCGACCAGATCCGGAGAAGTTGGCTGCTGTTGCCGATTTCCCTCGTCCTGGAAACAAAAAGGCTGTTCAGCGATTCCTCGGACTCTGTGCGTACTACCGCCGTTTTGTCGAAGGATTTTCGAAAACTGCGGAACCTCTTACAAGACTGACACGGCCAGATGTACCTTTCGTATGGACGGAAGAACAACAACAAGCCTTCGTAGAGCTGCGCAATCGACTGCAGACAGCTCCAGTGCTGGCACATTTCAACGACACTGCCGACACTGAGATCCACACAGACGCCAGCAACGTGGGAATCGGAGCCATTCTAAGTGCAATGGCAGAACGGTGCAGAGCGTGTGATCGCTTATGCGAGCCGCAGTCTCACAAAAGCAGAGGCTAATTACTCTACCACTGAAAAAGAGTGCCTAGCAGTCGTTCGGGCCATTAGCAAGTTTCGACCCTACCTATACGGCCGGCCATTTCGAGCGGTCAGTGACCACCATTCGCTCTGTTGGCTTGCCAATCTACGGGATCCATCAGGCTGCCTCGCCCGCTGGAGCCTCCGCCTTCAAGAGTACGACATAACGGTGGTCTACCGATCAGGACATAAGCATACAGATGCTGACTGCCTGTCTCGTGCTCCTATTTTCCCGACGTCATCTGACACTGAACAAGATTTACCGTTTCTTGGCATCGTCGATGTGGTGCGTATGGCTGAGCTTCAACGTGAGGACACTGAGCTACTTCCTGTCATCCAGCATCTTCAAGGAGAAGACGTTATCGTCCCACGCCGACTCTCGCGTGGTTTGACTACGTATTGCCTGCGGAACAATGTTCTCTACAAGAGAAATCTTGAGAGCAGCCAGCAAACTTTCCTCCTCGCCATTCCAATGGCACTGCGTGAGGAAGTTTTGCAGGCGTGCCACGACGATCCTTCGGCCGGTCACTTAGGTTTTCCTAGGACATTAGCGCGCATCCGACAGAAGTACTACTGGCCACAGCTGTATTCATCCGTTCAGCGCTATGTCCGCACCTGCCGTGACTGTCAGAGGCGTAAAGTTCCACCCGCAAAGCCCGCCGGTTTCCTCCAACTTTTAGATCCACCTCGAGCACCATTTCAGCAAGTAGGAATGGATCTTCTTGGTTCCTTCCCTACGTCATCCTCAGAAAATAAGTGGATAATTGTTGCGACCGACTATCTGACTCGCTATGCAGAAACCAAAGCTGTGCCTAAGGGAACTGCAGTTGAAGTCACCAAATTTTTTGTCCACGACATTGTTTTGCGTCATGGTGCAGCTGCTGTTCTCATAACCAATCGCGGAGCAGCATTTTTGGCAGAGTTATTGCAACAAGTCACCAAGCTGACGCACACCAACCACCGGAAAACAACAGCTTATTATCCCCAAACAAACGGCTTGACGGAGAGGTTAAACAAAACACTGGCCGACATGCTATCTATGTATGTTGATGTAGAGCACAAAACGTGGGACGAAATTTTGCCGTACGTCAAGTTTGCTTATAACACCGCTGTGCAAGAGACCACAGACCTAACACCATTCGAGCTTGTTTATGGCCGTCGCGTCACAACACCGTTAGACGCTATGCTCCCCGTAGACCAGGACAACAGCGGAAATGACAGCGTTGACGACTTCGTTGAGAAAGCAGAGGGAGCCCGCCAGCTTGCACGGAACCGCATTCGCGCGCAGCAAGATATCGACGCTCGCCGTTACAACCAAGGCCGAAGGAGCGTCCACTATCAACCAGGTGACTATGTATGGGTGTGGACACCAGTTCGACATCGTGGGCTTTCGTAAAAGCTATTGCGGCGCTACTTTGGCCCTTACGAAGTTGTGCGCTGCCTCAGTGACGTGAATTACGAGGTAGTTCCCCAAAGCTCCGACACCAGTTTAAACTGAAGACGTCCACGTCCAGAAATAGTCCATGTAGTACGGATGAAACTGTACCACGCCCGTGAGTTATGAACACTTCGAACTTTTTCCTTATTATGCACAACAGCGTGGGCTTTTTTTTTTTTCATTGACAGTGATCATTTTTTTTTTCTTTCATGGCCACCTCTAGCATCTCAGTCAATCGACCGGGACGGTCGCTCTTGAAAGGGAGGAATTGACGCAAGGTAGGCTGGCAACTATAGTAGCCAGCCTCTGAAGAGGACAACGAAGTAGTTCTGTGTGCGCGTGCTCTGGTGTCCGCGTTTCCGGCCCTTGGGTTACGAAAGTAAACGCCCTATTTTGTACCTGCGTGCCTGTGTCTTTGTGACAATATGTCACACGGGGGGTTACCAATGCACGAATTTAATAAAAAATCATTATTTTAATAACACATATGACACCCCATATACAAGCATAGTACATTAGGGTGAAAACTGAGTCAGACACACATGACGTGTAGGATGCGAAAAGGTTATGGAGATGCCACTGATATCTTGCATGACAACTGCTTATGCTTCCTCTAGATGCACAGCATATTTGTTTCATTATTTCACTGCAGTGCTCTTCCTCTGCTACCAACAACAAGCAGGCATGGCAATCTTTCTCTGCTTCAACCCTGAGTGCGAAGTCATCAGTTCATAAGTGAAGTGGCTCACTCAGGAACCAGCATACACTATGCTAGCTACTCCATCCCTCACCCTCACTTCCCATATTTTTGTCATACTTTCTCATCAACTCATGAAAACCAATAAGCCATCTAGGACAGAACACGTTCTAGGCATCTCTAAAGGTGGGAGGCCTTGGATGTCTCATCAAACGCGAGAACTGACTATCGGCATTCAATGGTATTGACATTGACATGAGTGGTACAAAAAATCGTCGTGTCACATGTCACCACAATTTGTGACACCACATAACGTGATGACCGTATCACATGACACTGTCAATCGTTCGATAGCGGGCTGATCACAGAGGCAGTGCAAAACTATGCAGGAAGCTTTCAGGGTGGATTAGCATGCCATGGAAGGATCAATACCTGGACAGAGATAACAGAGATGGCTTTTGTTCCTCAGTTGCTTTTAAGCAATGTGTAAGTGACCCTGCAAATTTTCGAAGTGTATACTTAAGGGCTTGTTCTCTTTTTTAACACAATATTAAAGGGAACAGACAATAATGCTTAGAAATGTATAGGGGATGTTCTTAGTGCCTGCGGCCGTTCATCAGTTCTCACGGAGGAAGTGTTACCCAAAAGAAGTGCAAGGTAGTATGTATATTCATATCCCAAGGTGGCCTCTCTTTTACACACTCTTCTACCACTCGCCTTTCGTCCCACAAACACATGCATATTCCTTCGAGAATTGCCAAACCAAGTTACTTGCCAAGTCTCAATCTACTTTTACCCCGCAGCCTCTCTAATCAACAATACCCCTATTACCTTGCACTCCACTTCTCTTGAGAAGGCTGTGGACCACTCACTTTTTAAGGCTTCCTGTTTGCATGATGACGAGATAGATGGTTCATGAGTTTCTGATTCTGTGAGAAGGATGCACTACAGTGGTGACAGGAAAAGGGACGCTCGCCTCTGTGGATGTACATGTGGCGATTGAGGTGCTGCGCCCGCACAAATGATGCATCGCACTGGTCACAGGAAAAGGGACGCTCCCCTGTGTGGGTGCGCACATGGTCCACAAGGTTCGTTTTATGTCTGAACGATGCCCTACACTGGTCACAGGAGAAGGGACGCTTTCCTGAGTGCGTATGAATGTGCCTCGTCAGGTGAGAGTCCCGAGAGAATGTAGCTGGACACAGATGGCACTTAAAGGGGCGCACGCCCGTATGGTTGCAAAGATGTTGTTGCATGTTCCCTTTGTACTTGGTCACATAGGTGCACTGACGACAGGAATGCAGTCCACCTTGAACGGTCACCAGTGACAGGTACTGCTCATGAGATGTCGAAGACAAGGATCCTGCAAAGTCACGAAAGGAACAAAAAGACAATGAAGACTATGTGAAACACGTTGTCTGTAAGTAGATTACTGTTCCAGAAAATAAAGAAAGGTTGCTGGAGTGGTAAATGAAGTAGACAATTACTTCACTTATGCAAACAACATGTTACTGCAGTAGTAACCATGCAATGACACGACATGCTGTACGAAAATTTCCTTCTCTCTGGATGTAAGAACTCCCCTCGATACATTCAAAATGTTCGGCAAATGCACACGGGCCTGATTTGAATGATATTCTGACACTAAGCCTAGACATCAAAATTTCTTTGTAATAGTATGCCAAAACAAGAAGGAGAAGCACAATATTGTATCTATCATGCTTTATTTTAATATTACTGCACCAAAACTCGGGTAATATTTTAGCAAATGATATAAACAAGACACGAGTGAAAGAAGGTAATATAGGAGAACATGAAAAAAGGCAAAATTATCACTAGCAACAAATCCTACGCATCACAGTTTTTGGTGGACAGGTGTGATGGAACATTTACATGGGTTCTGTAGAAAAATGGCTTTCTATGTATACTAGCACAGTTCATACACTTAACATGAAGGTCTCTATCCTGTTTGAATGAAAGCATAATGATTCCATATAATATACAGAATGAGCTACAAAGAATTTTGAAGATACAAATTTGAAGGGAGTATGCAAGATATTCGTATCATTCTGAATTATTATGAACAAATCAGTTGAAGCTGACCATGATGATGAACAAACTTCATTGGGTCAACTACTCTAGCCGAAAAAAAGTGCATAATGTTCTTTTGAACTTTCTTGCTTTCACCGCCTCTCAATAAAGTGCTGCGGTTTACTCACTCTTGCAGCTCCCTCTTACAGACAAGCTGCGTTGTGCCGTTCAAGTGGATCGGTCAGCTATGCGCGAGTATCATCCGCGGTGAATGGGAAAACCGTTCGTGTAACACCGAATGACGGTGTGTTTCATGTAATGTAGTCGATTTAAAACAACCTTAAAATTTGTATCGTCGCAAAATTCGCATCACCAGAAATCGTATCATATAGATTCTACTGTATTCATATAATATATTTCAGACACTTACAATACCTCACACGTGTAGATACTATTCCATTTTATCACAGTGTGTAACTTTTACACTGAATTAAAATAATCCCTACACCTTCGTACATACTTAGAAGGCCACCTTCCGATACCAAAATGATGAAACTACCATGGATATATGACGACACAATGCACACAACTCAACACACTAAATTCATTTCAAGCCTTATTTCACAGTGAAGGTAATGGGCAAACCTATGTAAAACGAAGAATATCCTCACGGAGATGAAGTGAAGGAAGGTAATTGGCAGGAGGATCTGAACGATGCGCAAGAGTGTCAGTCAGTCAGTCATATTGACTGTTGCCTGTTCCTTACCCATGGCTGACTAACACACACGCACGCCCGTCCGCTCCTCCTGCCCTTGGTCTTTCTTCACGTTATCTTCACAACGATATCACAACGCTTCATGATGGAAGAGAATGCCTACCACTTCCTTCACTTTATCTCTGTAAATATATTACAATGCTTGATTATGCTTCTGCCCTTCGTCTTCATTCACCTTATCTGCGTAACAATATAGCCATGCTTGATGATGGAAATGAAGGGAGATACATTTAGGGAAACTCAAGTCGATATTGCTCAGGTAGGGCACTTAAAAAAAATACCATTTACAAATCAAGTTTGTTTGGCCATATAATTCAAAGATTTTGTTCAGACTATACGGACATGCACTAAGGTTTTACGGAGAAAAAGGCACAATGAAGAAACACGAGACTCCTGCTAAAGGCTTAAATCATTATTTACATATTGCAGTGCAAAATAAAAGTGTTACCAGCAAGCACTGAAGTTACTTATACAACAAACATTTCTCCTTGCACTTATAGACGTGTAAAGATGTGCCTCAAAGGGGTACTCACACAAAAACATTGCGCTCGCGTTTTTCTGCTGCAATGTATTACTGAAGGCCTGCTAGCCATAACACTGCACATGTTTGCTGTAGCACATGACAGATAATTATTTGTACGTATCTCATTATCAACCAGTTTCAGGTTTAGAAAGCTTTAAATATGAGGAGCAATTGAGTGCGACTATCGCCACCCAGCACGTTCTGCTCTCGATCACGTCAGCACGATGAACTGTGACACATTTCCGCATGGATCGCATCAAGAATTACTTTCGAATAAGAAACGGGATTGCAGTGTCACTAATCACAAAATTTTCAAAGCGTGAGCCATAATTACGCACTCGCGACCACCAACCGAGAAGCGTAGACTGTGCGAACAAACGCGGCAAAAAAAAATGGCGACTACGATGTCATCATAACATGTTTTATTGACTGCAGCTGGTGGCGTGAGCGTAGTTAGGGGTCCCTAAAGGGTCCCCTTCAAGGGTGTCAATGGCACAATGAAGTCTAGTGCTCACACAAACTTCAAAATTAATTGAAGATGCCTTCCAAGCTATATTCACTGTTGATATTTTGCAGATGATATATGAACGTTCACGCGAATCGATCCCGCAGGCAGTCTCGGCCATAAAATTTTGTGCCAGTGCCCCTTTAATAAATACCTAAACTGAACAAGGTACCTTGTAAGCCAAGCACAATTTTTTTACACTAAAGCTCTCAACACATACGTTGTAAATAAATAATTACAGTCTTGCCAATTTCAATTGCATAACAGTGAAGAAAGTGTGCAGATAATGTCACACGTTTCAATGCAAGGAGCAATGAGCAGCAGTCCATAGACAGTCACATCACCGTCACACTTTTGTGTTCATAACGTATTAAGTTCCATCATAAGTGTAAAATGATGAATGCTTTCCAAGAAGCAAGTGGTGCAATGCCTTCCTGTCAATATCTAAAGCACTCCATTTCTTTGCTTCTCCACAGAGGGGAACAAAACATCTGCAACAGCAAATAAAACAATGTTAAAGCCAGCACAAACACAGCACATTGAAACGTACTTGCAACCTTGAAATCATCAGTCTCAATTGTAAGAAATAACTCAATTGCAGTTTTATTACTATAACCCCATGACTGCTTCTTCAGTATAAAGACAAGTGCAAATAGAGGTCTTGATTTTTTTGTATTAGATGCAGCATTAGTTCTCATTATTACTCTTTCTCTTAATTACTCATTTCTCTTTGAGTAACTAATTTGATTAAACAACACATATTTTTGAAAAAAAGAAACTCTATACATAGGACAATTCACTTTTGAGCAGTTGAACTTGGAAGAAAAAATATTGAATTGAATTGCATGAAGGACGTGAACTCGCAGTGAACCAAACCAATGTGCCAAGTGTCTGCTTTCCCATTTTGGCACACTATATGTGGGTAGACGATGAGTGGAGCTGCTGTGGCTAAGTATAGCAGGGCGCAAGAACCGCAAATGTCATGAAATTGAATGGGTAGACCAGTTGTACATCTTGTGGCACAATTAGGAGGCATTTTTTCAGTCTACAGAAATAACAAAGAGCTGCATCATAAAAAGAAGACACATGTAAGACTTCGAACAGTGTGCAAGTACAATTTTATGCATTACTCTTCGTTACAGCACTGTCCTTCTTTCCCCCCTATGACATTAACAAACAAGCGAACAAGTGAACAGTGTCCCTGCAAGGCCGGTGGCGAGTCAAAAACCAAGAATCAAAATAAGTAGTTCAACCTAAAGGGTAATTCAGTCTACCAGAGTTCAATATAATCAGGTTTGACTGCACCACTCAAATACAAGCTACTATGGAGCTTGTTGATTTTAATATCCCACAACCTCTTCCGAATATGATGCAGAATGTGGCAAAGCACTTTCAGATCTTGGTGTGGCACACAAATCTCGTCAGTGTGGCTTTTTTGAGTGGGTACTACTGCACAAGTATCTGCTTGCTCGTTCTGGCCAGTACTATGATGATACCAAAGTAAAAAGTGATGAAGTGCATCTGCAGTACATGTGTAAAAATTATCAAGCAAGCAAATGGGGACACTAGTCAATCAACATGTAGACACAGTGTAGAATTCAGAAAGTGCATGCCAAGGTCCACGTGGCTTCATCCACGGCAAACAACATGCATGATGCCCATGTTGCCAAGTGCAGAAAATTTTTTTGAATCCTGGAGGAGAAACAACGATTTAAAAATGTGCTGGTACAATGCTTGCATGAGATAACTTTCATAGTGCAGTTCAAAAAGAAATGCTACCTCAGACTTCTTATTGATATGCTCCTTATTACAACACACAATCTAGAGTGCCACAATGCTGTCAAAACTTGGACAGGATGGGGACAACAAAGATGGCCTCAACTGTAAACCACTGTCTGCAGATACAGTGAGGTAGTTTTGTTCAAAGCAGCATCCTTTCTTAGCAGGATGTGCCATGCAAACTGTATGAAGTCTGGCTTATTGTAACTAAGCAGGCACATTGAGGAGGATTTCTGGGAATGCACTTACAATGTTCAAAACTACCAAAATATTTCAATAAGGTTTAGGTACCTGCAAAGGCACTGGTTGCACCTATGTGAGAAAGTCAGGTCAGTTTTGATAAATGCTAAAAACACTCCACAAATAAAAAATGTGATTGCCCAAAACCAAGGTATTTTGACAGCAGCACGACTCATTTCTTGGTGCCAAAACAGATGTAGAGTATGTTCAGATAAAAACATTGGAGCATATAAACTGGCCCCTGTTGATTTTGCTTAAAAAAATACATTTTGTTGCCAGAGTACCCAGTGTCATTAAACAAGTCTTAATTCGACAAAGAAAACCTTGCCTTAATTTAGAAGTCTCCACATAACTAAAACCACCTCTCACAAATTGCACAAAAATGTGATTTAGATGAGATCCTACAAAAGATCTGCCATAGGTGCAAGTCTCAACATTTTTCTGGAAGTACTACAAGTAACCTGCATTCATGGAGTTTTATTACCTAGCAGTTTTGTTGCCAGCATGTCAAAAACAAGTCCCAAATACAGCACACTATTCAATTACACCATAGTGTGAAGTCTTTCTGCTCGACATCTATAACAGTGAGAACTTTTAAAATTACCCAGAATGTTGTCAAATACTATATTGATGAAACATGAGATCCGAAGAAATGTTGTGTTAGTCTGTAGTCTCAGCACCTTCCAAGTGAGCATTGATTGAATAGCAATAAAAAAAATTAAGAAGCATTTACAAGCTTCATACACATCAGATAATCATCCAATGTAGAAATAAGCGTATTACGCTGTCCTAAGTTTTAGTTTCTTGCTTTGTTTTACAACGTTGCAGCCGACCGTAGCAACCTAAGCCAACACTAGTCAGATCCACAGCGTAAATAGACACTAAAATTGACAAGCGTTTCATTATCAATACTTTATTTCCTTCGTATAACGTTCAAAGCATCTTTTTAAGACTTGAGTGCAAATAAAAGACGGGAAATTTCATTTTTAGCTCAATATGATTTGTTTTATATACTTTCAGGTAAATCGCACTTCGCGAACTGTGTCGTCGAGAGTAGGCATTTCTCAGTCAACTGAGTTCTGGCGAAGGCAGTTGGTGGCGAATGGCATTCGAATGGCATTCGGATGAATGCCATTTTGTTCGCCCGTGTGGCACCGCGCGAATGGCAATAAATCTGAAGGCATTCGGAGGTAAATGCCATTTTTTCTGACCGTGTGGCACGGGTATAAGGCAAAGAAATTCTCGCCATCTTTATAACCTTTTATGCTGATTTCAAATACGTACTATTTTGATTATTCTCCATGACAATGTGTATAGTTCATTTTGAAGAAACATTTTATGCCACTAAACTTTTATGGAGCTGAGCCATTAGTGGCTCATAATGCTCTACATTAACTTGTAAATAATTATCAAAAAAATACATACAGGACTTTTTAATAGACAAGAGAAATTGCAATGTGAAAATTCTTAAAATGTTCGGCCCATATTGATTACTTACTTTAGGTTTGCAAAAGTTTTACAGGCAATATTAAGTTTCAGAGGGAATTGCACCCTTCACATGTTAGAGCTAATTTGGAAAAAAATTATAGCTGGTCGGGCTGTCACACATACAAAAAGATGATGTCCAATCTAAAAAGTTTCACAAAAATATTTCTTGAAAAAAAAATAACGAATTTTAGAGGAGTAAGTGAAAGCTCTTCTACAACGAAAACATGCGTCTTGCAACATGATTTGTTTCTTCCCGAGAGAGCTTGGCCATCATGGTTATTTTGAGCCTGTGGCTTTAGTGAGCTCTTCATACGAAATGTACGTATTTACTTGCATAATCCTCGCACTTTTTTTTTTTGCCGGAAAACCGATGCAAAGTTGGGGGGGGGGGGGGGGGGGGTGCGAGAATTACGCGGGGAAAACGTTCCACGAAAACGTACAGAGCGAAAAAGAAAACGAAGTGGCCGCAAATCGGGATTCTCACCTCAGCTACTAACAGCAAGCTTTAAGAAGTACTAATTAAAACCTACCTCAACAATAAAAGCAGAGGTTCAACACAAGACAATATTTATTTGAGACACAAGTAGTGGAAGCAAACAGTCGAGAATTAGAATACCATACGCAAAGCTTGTGGACGTTGCGGGCGTAGCGATAGCTATTGTCGCTCAACAGGAGCCCTCAAAAGGTGAGCGTATGACGTCGGCTGATGGCTATTTAAACGAATCGTCCGCAGTTTCCTTCTGAAGAAATAAAGTTTACCATCAATCCCAGTTGGAGGCACACGGCAGGCCCAACGCGTCTTGGTGGCTTTCAGCTGCCGTCACCGGTAGCGAACACAAAACTCGTAGACTCCGAAGGGCCTACCGGCGGCCCTGTGGTCCTTGTTTAGTGCATGATTTGTAACTTGCAACTTGAAAGCAGCCGTGTAGCTTTAGTAACGCCTCATGACGTGACAAGATTACCGACACAACCTACTAAACAAGCCGCAACGCACACTGGCCACTTCAGCTTGGCTTGGATTGTATTCAATCTATGTGCAATAGTACGCTTATGAATGGATGGATAGATGTTGCTATACCCATAGAGAAATAAAAAAGAGGTTAAGAGTGGACACTCTCGTAGACCCCAGCGGCCCAATCGACCCTAGCACACCTGGTGGTTGGTGAAAGCAAGTGGCGTGCGCTTTCTGTTTCGGTTTCACTGGCGCAAATTTTGAATTACTTTGCGTAACCGACGTTTGGCTATGACGAAAGTTCATGATTTTAGACCACTTTTCATCGCCCAAATGGATAGTTTTTGTAGGTCGTTTTGATTTAGCGATTCCCTGTTTTGTTTTGTTCAGTGGTCGTGCGAATTAGTCGTGACGTAATTTTTATTTCGATTAGGTTATAATAAAAAGAGATGCAGGTAATGATAATTCACTATGGTTTTATTCATCGCGCTTGTGTTTTTCTTTTTGAACAAGTGATCAATGCATATATCAGTCAAAGAGACAGAGTATCCGCAATTTTTATTCAAAGCAAGGTAGAGTCTGAGAATATAAAAAGCACAATATGACAAAGGTAGACAACAAATGCATCTCGCCTTACAAATAAATTGTAACAAATACAGAGAGAACACAGGCAACGCACACATCGCTAGAGTTGGCAGAAGCCGAGAAGCTGGTGAAGTATGACACACCAGGCCAGTGTGTAAGGATCTATGGCAAAAACACAGCGCACAATGCTGATGAAGAAGGAAGAAGTGACATATACACAGCAATGAAGTCGCGAATCACGCCTGGGGTTAACCGAAATAAAGCATAGAAAAAAAGAGCGCACAGAAACCACACGACACAATATAGCAGAAAGGCAAAGGTGCAGTGTGCTGGCTGTGCTTAAGAACAGCTTGCCCAAAATTAAAAAAAGCAGACTTGATGCCTGCTTGTCCTCAGGCTTTGCAGCTTGCTCACTACGTGAAAGACAAACTTTATGCTACAACATTGGCAGGTCTTGTGGCTCTTCTTATGCATTGCCTTGATCAAAAACTTAAGATCCCAAGTGAATTGCGTCTGGGTGTTGCTGTGACGCTTGCGAGCTAAAATAGATTGTAGTCATCACTTATCCAGAATTGTGGACCTTAATTGGTGCTACGAGAGCGGTATTACAGGGCTAATAAATAGCAGAAGGAAACCACTTTGGCTCATTATTTTTCACAAAAACTCTACATCGTAGGTTATCACTCACGAGCTATATAAAAATAAAATGGCAGCATCCGCAGCCCCATCAAACGCTACAAGTTTGGGTATTCTTTTGAAAATTTTGATGGGCGAGATGAGGAGGTTGATGAGAAGCTAAAATACGAAAAGCGTGATAACGTGAACCGTGCCCACTTCATACTGTGTTCCTTACCCGCTCGAAGACATTTCAACAAGCGGTTTTGTTATCGATATATTACTTGAGCTGGAGAGATAAAGCATACACAGTGACCAAGCGACCCACAGTAAGTGTACAGTTCGCCCACATTTGCTACAAAAATACAGACAGGATACCCAACATTCTTTTTAAGGTTATGCAAATCGCTTCGAGCAAATACACAGTGTCCCTACTCCTCATAGCGGGTAACCAAAACAATGTATGCAACGAAGGAGTGGTTAGTCCAGTTGAACTGAATATAAGCATATAAGACCATAATGAAGTCTGCTGTAACGAAGTAATAACATAACAAAGCTATTGCAGGATTCGGCTCAACTCGAATAATTTAGTGTAAACCCGCTGCTAATTGCTAACCTTCGAACTTGTCAAGCTGTATGCCTGAGATTGAAGACTGGAACCTAACCCTATCTAAGTTTCTGTTCACAAAACGCACATGTTAACATAAACGAACCCGGCAAAACATTTTCAGAAACTTCGCGCGACACCCAGCAGAGCAGAAATGAAAATTGCCAACACTTGACAGATGGTGATACAAAACATCGCACACTTTCAGGTGATGTGCAGTGGCCTCAATTATGGCAAGAAAGTGAGATTCAAGTTGTACGTATGCAAAAGCTAATTCTGATGGCACAGTGAGATTCCCAAAAAGTTTGCTGGGGACGTGGTATGCTTTCAGCATTGTGAAATACTGGTGGGTATTTCACTGTCGTCTTTCAGTAACTGTGGGCAACTGCAACCGTCACATGCATTCCGAAGGAAGTGTTTGATGAGAAAACCAGCTACATAATATGCAGCGGAGTCATCGATAATGTGGGAGTGAATGTTGGGCGCAAGTTCAGAGAGATCATCTAGAGCGGGAAAGTCGTCAGGCTGTGGCTGTGCACACTCCTCATTATCCACAAGAGATGCACTGGTGAGGGAGAATGGCGAGAGCTGCTCCTGGAGGAGGTCACATTCATAATCCTCGACATTTCCGTATTCTGACAGCTTGAAGAGTTTTCTTATGCAGATGTGCTTCAGGCCACAAATAAATTGTGCTACATTGGGGTTGGTGTTGCAACCCCGTTTTTGCCTAATGTGGCCAAATATGTTCTCCAGAGGATCCTGTTGAAGCCTGCGTGTTAACAGGTATTCAAAATTGTAATTTTTAGAGAGGTCGTCCCATAGTTGACTAATAGCCTGAATTGTAATTTGCCAACCTACGATGGTTTGTGGTTGACGTCTGCCAACAAACTGCCATGATGCAATCCAGGGAAGCTGGCCTCGGAGGAAGTCAATCAGCTCTGAATCATTTTTCATGATTGCATGCCGCAGCTTTTGCGAAGTTTTTTTTTTACTCGAGCTGTTCAAGGCATTGAAAATCCTGTCCATACGATCACAAAATTGAGCTGTAGTGATGGCGGAGGTAGGCAGCACCTTCGCATACACCATTGCCGTGATAGCAATCGAAACTGATGCACTGAGGACCTGAGTTGCTCTGCTGACCTTCATCTTAGAAAAAGGTTTCAGATGAACGTGCCGTTCAGTCAACTTTGGAGCCAATCGCAACCGCAACTCATGTGAGGATTGGTAAAAGCTTACAATGTGCTACCAGTTAACGATGTCATCCCCAATGTATAACTTGTGTGCTTGGACATTATTGCGCATTGTTTTAATTACCTGCGGAACATCAAAAATGTAATACCCAACCCATTAACTTCAAAAAAAGGCTTTGCTACAGTCACTCTTAGTTGGTTAGCGAGACTTACATTTGAACTGCCCTGGTCACAAATGACTGCTTTCACTGCAATATTAATGCTCCTAAGCTCCAAAATGAGTGATACTAGCAAGGTATGCATAACAGATGACGGTGTTGATGTGTGCCCTATAGTAAAAGCAACCGGTTGAACCCACTTTCTCGAAACACCAACAAGAAGAAAAACCAGTGCTCGATCAGCGATGGTTGAAGTGCGATGAGTTCCATCATCTGTAAAACCCTGGACAACGTCTCTTGCAGCATCATAGTACAAATTCTTTTTGAGTGCTATTTCGTCGAAAACTAAAGCGCACACCCGGTCCCGTTCATTCCAAGCTTGAGTATTTGTTGCAATGGAAGAAAGGAATCCTGGAATTATGCCTGGAGTCATCTTTACATTAGCTAGCCACCTCCTTAATGAACGCGCACGTTAAAGAACTCCAGGTGGTCAAAATTTCCGGAGCCCTCCACTACGGCGTCTCTCATAATCATATGGTGGTTTTGGGACGTTAAACCCCACAAATCAATCAATCAATCCTTAATGAACACCGGGAGGGCAAAGAAAAATATGGAGCCAGAAATCGGTATGCTCGCGGACCTCGGAAGTTTAAGTGAAGAGCGAATTTCTTGAACCACACGGGAAACCGCTTGCCCTTGCGTTTGGGCCTCAAGCGAACATGTGCAGAAAGAAGTTTAAAAACCTCCTCGGTGACGTGCGGTCGAATGACTCCAAGGGCCTTTAAAGTCGATGACGGTGCTTGGTGAGGCTGTCTCCGCAGTCTTTTGATAGTTTTCCGCTGTGCTGCTACTTTGGCTTGCAGATGTTTAATGGTTTGCTTGTACTTCATTGATGGAGACACTGTCGCTGGCACACAGGAACGCACTGCAATAAACAAAAAAATGGATGTAAAAGCGAAGAACAACTAATCCCATATGAGCACTTTCCTCGCTCTTTCAGACCCAAGGTGCACAACTTTCTGTGGTGCAAAGTTTTCGATTCCACTACCTAAAAACAAGCCATTCACAATGTTGACAATGCACAAAAAAAATTAAAATCACTGAGAGCCCACCCTTAAATTTTTAAGTGCACACGTAGTGTCCTTTTGAGGATAGTTTCCTCAGAATGTCCTAAACATATGATAAAATAGCACATTAAAAACAGCTGCAGTAAAAGCATAGTCACCATTTTCTCTAGGGCACTCAGGCGTGGAGCTGTGGGCGGAGACGTCTTCTGGAGGGTCTTGTGAAGCTTGTTCAGTGCCTCGGACAGTGCTGTCGGAACAATCTTGCGAGCGGCCTGCAGAAGTCTCTATATCAATCCACTCTGGTGTTGAAGTGAACATACAACTTACCGGTCACACAAGTTCCTTTTGTGACAGCTGAACGACTGGTTGAGGTTTTCTCCAGCAAGACGAAGTCAGCAGAAATTCTTTCACCAGCTACAAGGGAGCTGCCACCTGCAGAGGTTTGGTCAACAGTCAATTTGGGTAAAAAAAAGAAATCGCGACACTGAACGCACCCTGCTCATCGGGGCACCTCAATGTGTGGGAGCCGCTTTTTGAAGCCTCTACCGCAGGACCTGAAGAAATGAAATTACGACAATGTGTCAGTAAGAGGCTTGAAATAACACAAACTGAAGCTCA